GCACAGCAGGCTTATATGCTCATTCCTTAATCTGCTCCTGACAGAACTGACACCTTTCTGTGACRGGTATAATCTCACACAACAGCTGAACTTCTCTCCATGGTTTAAGATTTATCTGTACTGGGTGAATCCTCCCAAAATCAGATATGCTACTGAGTTGCTCAAATCTTTATCAACTGCCAGCAACTAAAGATTGCACCACCACAGATCAAAACCGTGAAGGGAACCCACTCTCAAAACTTATTTCCCAAAATGGATAAACACATTAACTACTGCGCAAAACCCCTGAGTTTGCAGGTCTTGCTTAAATTCATACAGACACAGTTAACCCAGATTTTGCACAATTCATCATCACAAAATATTTCAGAGCATCAGCACATTCCTCCTGAAAAGAGGAACTTAAACCCACCACCTTCCCTACCGTTTATGGTTCTTTGATTAAGAGTGCCTTGGATTGGAAAGGACCACCCAGTTCCTAGCCCCACACTATGGGCAAGGATGCCACCCTTCAATAAGGTTATTTCAATGCCTTTTCTTTGCCTTTGAGCTACACACTCTTCACTAGCATAACTGGTTATATGAAAAGTTAAAGTAGCCTCAAATGAGAAAACATAAAATCTAATGAGAATTTAAAGTTTCTGCAGCTAATATGTTATACCTTTACTGACCCCATTTCTTGGTAAATATCTTTCACATAAATTGTTACAATGTACATTCATGATGACTTAAGCTTTTTTTTCCAGAAGGCATTTCCTTTAATCCCCTGTGGGAAATGAGTAACGTAACCATTAGTCATATAAGAGATTTCAGATSTTAATAGATAAGTTTTCCTTCTTTCATGTGCTTGTTAATATACAATTTTGTACTGCAGACAATTCCACAGAAACGTCCTTAAAAAGCAGAGCAAGTCACAAAATTTCTATGATAACACTCTTTGCAAAAGCAAACAATAAGCAGTCTCACGCAATCACCTTTGGTGAAGGGACAGCTTACTTTTACCAGGATCCTATCTCAGTTGAAGTCTACTGAATATCATCTGAGAAGCTTCAAAAAGCTGAGAGATATTTTGATTGCATGCAAGAGGAAATACAGATTTCTTCATTTTAGTTGCTGCTGGTGAAAGACAGATGCACTTTTATTGTAAAGGCATGAAAAACTTACGTACTAAGAATGAAAACTAAGGAACAAGAACCAGATAACAGTAGGAAAGACAGCTCTGAAAGGTGAATGACAACAGCATTAAGACTTCAGGCAAGCCCTTGTGAACAACATATTCAGGAAAAAAGTTGCAACAGAATGACGGGAGACAGTTCTCACAACGTCACAGAATTTTTCAAACCCTGTCACTGAAGGGAACAGTCACAGGGAGGATTTCTCTCAGAGAGAAAAGAACAAGTACTTTACTGAGGATTTAATTCATTACTCCCTCCAAGACAAATGTAATAAATGCTTACAAAAATCCATCTCTGAAGCTATGCTCACTATGGCCTACGTCCCTGTGTTTGGAAGAGGGCCAGAGCAGTGCTGAAAAGGGCAAAATAGAATCAGAGTGAACTTCATTATATGGGACTCTCAGGCATGCCAAGAGGCAACACTCATATCCAAAATTAAAAAAATAAAAACATGGCTAACATACTATCTAGGTAAAAAGGAAATTCCTGCTGAAAAACTAAAGGAAATTCCATAACTGATAATAAGAAGTTAAACAGGAAAAGGTATTGGTGAGGCTACCTCTGGTTATGGAATATTATTCATGCCTTATCTGTCTTAAAGATTCAGTAATTTTAGTTATTCATTAACTACTTTGGAGGGATTAGGAGCGTGGGCAGTTTTGGTTGAGTTTTTTTAGTGGAATTTTTTGGTCACGTAGTTGTTATTTGGGACCTGGTTTTTTGTTTGGTTTGTTGTTGCTGGGGGGGAGGGGGGCACTGTTTGAATTTTTTTTTATTTTTCTGCGGTGGGTTTTGAGATRGGGGTTTTGTTGGGTTTTTTTAATGTTTGGTTGGGCTTTCTAAACATAGACCAAGCACCAAGAAGAATACCATGGAGAGGGTCTCTGGGAGTGGAGAAAAATATTGTTGTTCTCTGGCTTTCCAAAAGGTGGAAAGATGTATTTCAAGCATCATGGCAAATATACAATGAAACTCAAGACATTTTTCATTGAGAGAGCTTTCATCCTAAATTGAAAGCTAAGAAGAGGTGTGACCATCATTCCAACTGTTTTAGGAACCGTTTTTGTAGATGCAACACAGAGCTATTCAGTCTCCTAGTCTCAACACACATATATCTAAAAATTTGGGGTCTCTGACAAAGCCCTGCATGATCTGATATACATGGTCTTTGCTATTGTTCAGCTGAGCCAACAACAGCCTCCAGACTATATGACCTGCTTGGCACACAGTGAGCAGGAATGTAATTTGTAGTGACAGATGGTAGTATCTACCAAAATAACCACAGAATCATTCAGGTCAGAGAAGGCCTCTAAGAAAAACAAGACAAATTATTAAGCTAGAATCACTGTATTCACCACTGAAGCTCCATATTCACATGCTTTTCTAAATACTTGCAGGAATGGCAGTTCTACCACTTCTCTGGGCAGCCTGTTCCATCACCCTTTCATGGAAGAAATTTTTCCTAATATCCCATCTAAACCTGCCTTGGCACAATTCCTCTTGTTTTCTCACTTGTTACATGGGAAAAGAGCTACAACCTCGTCTCAGGGAGTTGTAGTGATAAGGTCCCACCCAGATTCCTCATCTGCTCCTCATCAGACTTGTGCTCCAGACTCTTCCCCAGCTCTGTTTCCTTCTTTTCCTTCTCTGCACACATTCCATTCCCTTAAAGTCCTTCCTGAATTGGGGGACCCACAGCTGGACACAGCATTCGAAGTGTGGCTTCACCACCACTCAGCACAAGGGGACAGTCACTACCCTGCTCCTGCTGCCCCACTCTTGCTGACACAGACCAGGATGCCCCAAACTTCTGGGCAAAGCTGACTCGTGTTCAGCTGCTGTCACCACCACCTCCAAGCTTTCCATCAGGCAACTTTCCAGCCATTCTGTCCCCAGCCTGTAGCACTGCAGGGGTTGTTGTGACCCAAGCGCAGGACCGAACCTTTCACCATGTTGAACCTCATATAATTGGCCTTGGTCCATATCCAAACTGCCTCATTTCCTCTGCAGGGCAATAATTTTGAAGTGAGAAGTGATTCAATAAACTCAGAGAACAAAGTTCTCAAATTCTTTGGAATGAATGCTCAGTGGGTAATTTTTAATTAGAAGAGCTGGTGCTTAGGATGAACCAAATCCTATTAAGGCACCCAATGCCAAAGCTTGTCATACACAAAAGGTATTGGCAGTTGTCATGGTTTTAGTCCAGCTGGAAATAAAGCTCCACACAAATACCCCCCTTCCCCGACCCATTCCGGTGAGAGACAAAAAATCTGCAAGACAGTTACAGAAGGTAAGTAAAATAAAACCAAAATAAATAAAACAAATAAAAATTAAATTACTGGAACCCCTAGAAGAAGTACTAGTAGAAATTAAATATAAAAACAAAAATACATCAGTGCCAGAAGAGCAAGCCCCTGCAGAACCTCATGACTTGAATAGTGACTGGGGAAGTTATCTGAAAATCTCTTCACAGCTTTCCTCAGAACACTTTTCCTGCAGCTCCTAAGTCTCAAGCTCTTGAGAAGTTACCTGAGCCTACACTGTGCATGGGGTGTTCAATTCAGCTAAAGTCATTCCAGGAGGGCAGATGCAACACAAGATAACTGGCCTCTAAGAGAATGACAGCAGTCCTGTGCCAGTTAGGATATGATCCTATCAGCTTCAGCAGAAAAAAGGGAGACAAGTAAACTCCATACCTATTTCTAAATAGAACCACAAGAATGAGAAGTTCTGTGTTCTTTTAGGATATCTTTGACTCATTAAGTGCCTCTACAGAGCTGCTTCTTCCTAGGGAAGTTTTTAGGGGAACTAGAACCAGAGAGGAAATAAATGGACACAAGTTCAAAGACAGCTCTACAGACAGGTAGGTCTAAGTTTATACAGTGATTATTTTGTCTGAATATTTTCACCATATTCATACTTCATTAATCTTGTTGTCACAACTGGACAATACAGTAATTTCACATGCCAGTGTTCATGTTCTTTGAAACTGCTAAATATGTGCAAACAAAAGCCATTTATATTCAAACTACAGTATCTTCAATCAGATCCACAGTCCTGCAAACAACAAATTAATTTGCTAGTGAGATATGCAGTARTAAAATCTAGTATCACTGAAATGGCTTTTTACGACAACAACCAGTGCCACCAGCTTCTCGTGGTGTGCATGGACCAGGACTACAGTGTAGCAGCATAATTCACTGCTTCTTAGTAAATTTTACCAAAATGTCACTCCAAAATAAAGGAACACTTCTCCCTTTTTTTATACACAGTAAACCCATTTAGGCAGAAGTGAAATTATGTAGGCATACCTAGGTTTTTGTTTTGAGTGTTATCATAAAATCAACCCAGGACATTTTATATCTAGACTTTTTATTTCCCCCACTGTAGATTGGGGTCATGCACAAAACAGTGAAGAAAGTGTCAAAAACTTCAGATTTGCCATTGTCACACCTTCTATAAGCACATCTCTTTAGCAAAGGCTAAGGATTAAAAACCTAGTCCAAAAAATCAAAATAAGATTTGGTCATATTTAATGCAGCAATGAATAAACTGAATGGGTTGCCAGAAATTCATGTTAACTTCCAACTTCAACACTGAAGTTCTGTTCTGGTTAATAAATTCAGTACACGTACAACTTGTATCATTACAGCTGTCATTGAAAGTCAATGGCACTTTAATTATACATCTGTTTAACTGCCTTGCTAGACTTAAATCTAACATACAGACTAGTATGCTTCAAAAAAACCCAAACCTTAACAGAAATGGCAATGCATTTCCTAATCCAAAAGACTCCATATCCTCAAATCACTGCAGTTAAAATATTACCTGGATCATTATGTGAGTGAGGCACAACAAAAACTTGAAGTGGTTCACTGTCCCATTCGTTTTCATTGTATGTAATATCAAATCCTTGTTTCCAAACGCCACCATCTGGATTATCGAAAGGAAGAATGTCATAGACATCCAGCATCTAAAACAGAAAAAATTAAAGGAGTATAAAACATAAATTCACAGAAACAGTTCTGCTATTAAAAAAACAAAGCTGTTTTCCCTGAAAATGGATCAGCTTGTTCATTACTGAGGGAGAGATGACATGCCAAATGAATAGAAATCTGACAAATGAGAGCAAGTTTCACATCACACTAGGACACCAAGACACAGCTGGCACTAAGAGGAGCATTTGGCAGGCTCTGTTCTGAGGAAACTGACATTGATTAGATAAACAGCAGGATTAAGAGCCTTAAGTCACAAAAATTATGGCAGCTCACAACAGCATTGGACAGGAGGGTATGAAGAGGATTATACAGAATAGCACAGTGAACTAAACAGAGGAATGCAGAAAATGAAGGAAWTAAAATGAGAAAGAAGTAATGACAGCATAAGAGAGATCAAGGCAAACATCAAACCCTCAAAAGGGAACTGAAAGAAGCTATCAAGAAAATATGTTCTCAACTTTAGCCAATTTCTATAACAAAGCTTCCTGCTCATTTCCTGTTGCCCAGTACACTAATTGTACAAGGAAGGACATATGTCACTTGTCAAGGCAAACAAAAAGGTTACAGGTAAATAAAGTAACTCCAGAGTTACTTTTACAAGTTCCTATGAAACACAGGGAACACCATATAGCTTCAAAGGGAGTGTCCTAATGTGATATCCTGGGTGTTTGTTGGTTGTTTTTTTTTTTTTTTGTAATGCTCTGGTTTGCTCTTAAGAAAGAAAACAAGATATGAATGAATTGGCATCAGACAAGCCGTTTCCTAACACTGTAGTTTAAAGTTTAAACTTTAATTAGTTCCAAACCCATGTTACAATACAACTRTACATATGACGAACTTCCTACAAAAAACAATCCATCTACACAAAAAAAGGACTCTATAGCAGTCACTCATTGTTTGAACACCACAAGAGTTAAAATTTTCCAGTGGTAAGGTGCTTTCTGTCTTGCTAGGAAAACTTTTAACGTACAGGTATCTGAAACAAATAACTGACTAAAGAAATTAAGGCCTTGCAATTGTTGACTTTGGCCTCCACACAGATCTCTCATTTTTCATCATCAACAGAAGAGGGGGAGAAATATAAAATATTATGAGTGCAGACAAAAACAGGGGAGATCACTTATCAATTTCCATCACAAAAAAAAAAAACAAAACAGACCTGACTTTGGGAACATTAAATTAATCTATTGCCAAATAAAATAGAACTGGATAGTGAGATAACGTCCATAATGTTTCCTCTCTGACATCGTCTCCTTCTCACATTTTTTGTCCACTCCAGCATGGGGTCCCTTCTATAAGCCATAGCACTTCAGGAACTGCTCCAGCATAGATACTGCACAGGCTCCAGCTCCCCCTGAAAATATCTACCTGCTCTGGCATAAGGTCCACCACAGGTTTCAGGGAAATTCTTGCTCCACTGTGGTCTTCCTCACCTGCTCCAGTGACTAGAATATGTTCTCTGCTTCCTCCATCAGGGATCATGGTGTTCACAGAGCTGTTTCTCCCCCTTTTTTAGCCACTGACGAGCAGCATTTTACCCCTTCTTAAAACCCATTCAGCCAGMGGTACCACCACCCTTTGCTGACGGAGACTGCAAACCTGTGGTGGGTTTCAAGCTGTGTCTGGCACAGGGCAGGACGGGCCTCTCCTCACAGATACTGGAGCCCCTCACTGCCAACCCCCGCACATCTGCACCCAGAGCATTCCACCCTCACCTCTATGAAATCCTCACTTAAGAACAGTCAGTAAAATGTACATTCATCACATATTCTTCACCAACTTCACTTACATTTACAAAAAAAACCCCCAACATTTCCCACACTTAAATGAAAGTGACATAAAAATACTGAGAAAATGGATATTTTTACATGCACCCATATACAAGGTAAATCCCCACTCCTTTTTCTTTCACCTCATAAGAACAACAAAAGAATCCCCACAGCTATTTCACTCTGGCAGTGTCCAATCCAGGTTTTGCCTATCACCACYCCCTATCTCTTAATCCTCAAGACCCAGATTGGGGTGCTTAAAGGAAGAGCAGTGGATTGACCTTGGCTGGGCTGGAATCTGGAAGCCAGAAAAGGTTAATCCACCACAGGCCTTTAGTTCAAGGTATAAAGGAAAAKAATCATGTAAGAAAGAAATACAACATAGTAATCCTACATCCAGCAGACCCTCAGCTGGACCTGCAATGTGCACTAGATACCTACAACCTGGGAGAGATTCCCTGTAAACCAGGTATCTAGGGCCTGTATGAGATCATCTTGTCACATCACTGTTCCCCCAGGATTGCTTCCACCTTTGGGCAATATTGATTAATGGAAAACAGAGSTGCAACATCTGAAGATCAGTGCATTCCACATTGTCAGCCTGAACGGTCCAAATAAGGATTATGTTGAACTTAATTAGCCTAATAGCATATTTTCTTAACAGGCTATTAGGCTAATTTATCTATTATATAAAGAATAAGTAATATATATTATATAACAGATAATATAGATAATATTTTATTATTATGTATTTTCTAAATATCGTATTTTCTAAAATCTGAGTTTGAAGAACTGTATTTTTTCTGCAACACAGTGTTCTGAAGAAAATGTGATTGCATACTCTGTAAATTTGCCAGTTCACAATGAATTACCTAAATACTGATTAATCCTTCGGACACTTCAACCATAAAAACATTATTTTAAAAGTAGTAACTCATGAATTCCACAGATTCCTATGAATTTTTCTTATGGCTGGAGTCTGAATTCAACAAGCAACTTTCTGCATTCTTCAAGACAGTAATTCTTACAGCCCACAACATTCATAATTTTTTCTCTAACATCTACAACTTAACAGCTATTTCAAACCATGCTGATACAACTATGAGCTCAAGAGACAGAAACTGAAATTTAGAAAACAGTTCTTGGAATGTTAATCAATGGTTGTCTGAACTAAAATCTTAGATGACCTGGCCCATCATCCAGAAATATTTGCTGCCTTGCAAAGGCCTGAATCCTGGATTTTGTGGAGGAACTGTCAGAGCTTGTCCAACTCAATGGCTACTATCCCTCGTTGTCCTTCCATGTGGGTATGTATGGTTCCCAGAGGCAAACSAGACTGCATCAAACATGACTGCAGATAATCGGGATCATAGGTGGCATCCTCTTCTATCCACCAGCAAGGGGTAAGAGTGTGAGAGGAGGGCACTGATASTACAGATCAATAACTGGCCTCGGAGTTGGTGTTTGGGGCTCTCTGACCATGAGACACTGGTTTTCAGATCTGTGCTTCCTTGGGAGAGATGAGATGTAACTCACTGTCAGGGCAGCAGAGTTACCTTTTCCAGGAGGATGGCAGACCTACTAAGGACAGCTTCTGGCCAAGAATGAAAGGGGACAGAGAGAGCCAACAGCAGCCCTGTGGGGGAGYAGTGGTTAGGAATGATGTGACATTGAAGGATTTTAAAAATATGTAATTTAAGAAATCAATAAAACAGAGTCACCTCTAACATTTGGAGATAAGCAAGGAAGCACCTACATGAAACAATCACAAAGAAAACCCCAAAATCCCTCCCCCATGCTGAGGGGCCTCTCTGAAGGCTTCCTGGACTGTATCAGAGACAATGTGGCCAGCAGGACCAGGGAAGTGATTGTCGCTCTGGAATGGGGACTGGTGAGGCACCTCAAATCCTGCATCCAGTTCTGGGCCCCTCAGTGCAAGGACAATGAGGTGCTGGAGCATGTCTGGAGAAGGGAAGAGAGTTGGGAAAGGATCTGGAACACAAGTCCAATGAGGAGCAGCTGAGGGAGCTGAGGAGACTCAGCCAGGAGAAAAGGAGGCTCAGGGRGRACCTTCTTGCTCCCTGAAAGGAGGGTGCAGCCAGGTAGGGGTCAGACTCTGCTCCCAGGCAGCAAGTGACAAGAGGAAACAGCCTCAAGCTGCACCATGGGACATTTAGATTGGATATTAGGAAAAAATTCTGCACTGAAAGAGTGGCTGAGTATTGGCATAGGCTGCCCCCAGAAATCGTGAAATCGCCATCCCTGGAAGTGTACAGAAAAGTATGTAGATATGGAACTTAGGGACATAGTTCAGTGATGAACACAGCACTGCCATGTTAACGATTGCACTTGATTTTCGTAATTCTATGATTCCATGGATGAGAAGCCAACAGAAAGCTTATGGGCAAGGGCTAAAGAGCAGATGAGAGTGGCTGACACTGAAGTGGGTGGGCTCTGAGGGCCTGCAGGGTCCTGTCTATTCCAGGCTGCCTGATCTGCGATAACAAATGTCTGCAGAGGGAGGCCCTCTGCAGACATTTGCAGGGCCTGGTCCTCACAGGGCACTTCAACCATGCTGTTCTGTGCTCCAGGTACAACACAACTGGGTACAAGCCATCCAGAAGGTTCCTGGAGCACAGCAGTGGCATGCTCCTAATCCACTTGTTCCACAAGCAAGAAGGCAGCAAGGACTGGTGCTCTGCCTGACCTCTCACTTGCTATCAGTGAGGGTTCTGAAGCTCAATGGCAGCACTGGCTGCAGTGACCGTAAGGCTGTAGAGGTCAGGACCCTGAGAGGAGGGAGGGGGACAAAAAACAAGATCACATCCCTCGGCTTCAGGAGCACAGGCTCTGGAGTTTGCTTGGTGATATCCCACAGCATAAGGCCTGGGATGGAAAAGGGGCTCAAGAAAACTGGTTAATACCTCCCCTGATAAAAGGGATCTCCTCCTCCAAACTGGAGAGAAGTCCACTCCAACAAGTAGGAATTCAGGTAAAAATGCCACAAGGCCTACATGGATGAACAAGGAGCTCCTAGAAAAACTTAGACACAAAAAGGAAGCCTACAGAGGCTGAAGGCAGAGAGACAGGTAATGGGGGAGTGTGGTGGATTGACCCTAGCTGCACATGAGGAACCTACCAATGCCACTCTGTGTGTCCCCTCTGCACAGTGGAGAGAAAATGTGATTAAAGATTCACAAGTTGAGATAAGGGCAAGGAGAGATCACTCACTAATCACCATCATGGGCAAACAGACCCAATTTCTTAGGGAAATTAGTTGAATTTATTATTAATCAAAATCATAGTAAGATAACAAGAAGTAACATAAATCTAAAAAGCACCTTCCTCCCACCACTCTTCCCTTCTTCCCATCATTAACTTCATTCACAATTCTCTACTTCCTCCCTTCAGTGATGCAGGGAGACACAGGACAGGGATTACTGTCACATATTGTTTCTCTGTCCCCTTCCTTCACAGAGAGGAGTCCTTCCCCTGCTCCAGTGTGTAACTCCTTCCACTGGGGACAGCTCCCCATGAAGCATAAGTCACTTCCCTTCAGTGCTCCAGGAAGAGCCAGCTCCAGTCYGAGACCTCCATAGGGTCACAATCCTGACAGCAAACCTGCTCCAGGGCAGGCTCCTCTGTCCACAGGCCCTCAGGTCCTGCCAGGAGCCTGCTCCAGCAYGGGCTTCCCAAGGCATCACAGCCTTTTGTGAACATCCTCCTGCTCCACTTGGAACCTTCCAAGGGCTGTGGGAGGATCTCTGCATCCCCATGGATCTCCAGGGGCTGCAGGGGCTTCACCACAGTCTGCACCCATGGGCTGCAGGGGAACACCAGCTCTGGCACCTGGAGCAGCTCCTACCCATCCTTCTCCACTGATCCCGGTGTCTGCAGAGTTGTCTCTCTCACATACTCTCACTCCTCCCTTTTCTGGCCACAATTACTTCTATACGGTATCTTTTTCTTGTCTCTGAAATTTGCTCTCCCACTGGTATTAATACCATGTGGTTGGACCAGCCTTGGCCAGAGGTGGATCACCTCAGAGCTCCCTGGAGCTGTCAGACATGGGGGGAGCTTGCAGCAGCTTCTCAAAGAAGTCACCCCTGTAGACCACCCCCAGCAAAACTTGCTCAAGCAAATCCAATGCAAGGAAGAATATCGTAACATTGTCTGAGCACCCAGAGATGAGGTTAGGAGAGCTAAAGGACAAATGGGATTGAATCCCATCTTCTTCGGAAACTCTTCTTTGCCTCAATTTTTACTAGCAGGATTAGCCTTCAAGAATCTTCAGGAACCCCAGGTCTCACAAAGGAGGGAGAGAACTGATCCGAAGGTGTCCTTCCTGAAAGAGSGCCAGCTCAGGGAATACTAAAAATAATTGAACATACCTAAATCCATAGCTCTGGTGGGGTGCACCAATCAGTGCTGGCCGTTGTCAMTGCAAATCCGCTCTTGAGAACATTTGAGTAATCATGGTCATTACAAGATGTGCCCAAAGGCTGGAGGAAAGCAACATCACTCCTGTCTTCAAGAATGGCAAGAAGKAGCACCCAGCAAAGTCTCCGTGAGGGTCACTGAGCACTGACACAGGTTGCCAAGAAAGGCTGTGCAATCGCCAGCCTTGGAGATCCTACAAAGTCACCTGGACATGATCCTGGATACCTGCCCCTTGGTGGCCCTGTTTGAGCAGGTGGATGACATCCAGAGGTCCCTGCCAACGTCAACCATTCAGTCATTTTGTGATTTGAATGTTCATCAGAAGCAGTCAAAAAAAGCCAAGGGGAAAAAAAAAMCTTCCACTGTAATAAACTAAAGCCAGATCAGGCTGAAATCCTTACACTTAGGCCAAGACATTCAAAAGACAGAACTTAAATCTTCTATATCTTTCATACAACATCACCCTCAATAGGAATTGTGCCAAGGATTAATTACAAATTGCATCATAACTTGAACAAGTTACATGATTGCAAGTKAAGGGTAAGTTCTAAGCCTTTTGTAAGTAAAAAGCAAAAGAGGCTAAAGAAAGTATTTCATGAAGCTATTTCAGTTTCATGTCTAAGTATAAAATACTGATACTGTAAAAAAGGACTTTGTGAAAACAGTAGGCAGATAGAAATTCAGAGAGTACAACTGCCTGTCTTCATTATGGCTCTTTCAGAAGAYAGCCATGTTGTTACAAGTTTTTTATGATAACATGGAAATGTTATCAGTTGTCTTTCTTTTTTCTACATTGGTTTATTCTTTCTCTGTACTGAGAGACTCAAACTGCTGAAATAATGTAAATTTCATGAAAACGTAACATAACATCCTTACAATGAATAATTAACTATTGCTCAGAAGAAATAAAAGCATGGATTGTGCCTCTTCAGGGCACCTTTTTAAAGAGTGATTCATGTCTGTTGGATGCTTCAGCAGCTGAAATGGACAAGATAGGACACACCTCACTGTATTATTCAAAAGACCTTCCAGCTCAGCATGATGGCTATTGAGAACTCCATCTTCTCTGAGCACAAATGCCAGATACTTCTTGAACCACTAAACTAAAAAACCATCAGGTCATATCCATATTTAATCCAGTGTTCTTCATTTTTGTGGTTTTATTATCCGTCTCCATTTTTTATCTTTTGGAAAAAAAAAGTGTACATTAGCCTTTTATTTATTTGAATTACAGCGTTCCCAAGTCAGCTTTATTTTCAATTTCTGCTCCATTATAGTTTTCTACCTACTTACAAACAGCACAAGCAGCAAGTAAACAGTTTCTTGATTTATAATTATTCCATGAAAAAAATAAACATCCTTAAGCTGTCTCATCTGAGAATCTTTTGGTCTCATGTTGTTAGCAACTTATTTTTTCTGTTTTATGAAAACATTTGCCTTTGAGTAGCTAATCCAGAAGTATTTCTCACTGAACCATGACAAAGCTCTTTCATCCATATTTTAATGCCTTCTTACAAYGGTTTCTCCATTATGGGAGATTATAATCAACCTCCGTGATTTATTCAGTGAAGACTCTTTTGCCTTCATTCTGTAAAGTTACTTTTTTATCCAAATACTTAGTCTCACCTATATTAGCTCTTATTACTTTCCCATACACCCACCTAAGAGACAAACATGGGACAGTAATATAAAAAATCTATGGGTTTCAGTTAATGTTTACAAAGAGAAGCAAAAGTGCTCAAAATAATTATTAAAAATGTCCGAGATAAATTAATTAAGCTTTAACATGCCAGAGCAGAATGCATCAGGGTCRGCAAAGTATTAAATAGTAAAACTGTATTCAAATAGAGTGATTTAGATCAGTTTGTTAAAGTGATGCTAGAGGAATTCTGCTAAAGCCAAGGTCTTGGATTCCGTAACTGAAAGGCAATTTGGATTCACAGGATGAGAAACTGACTGTGTACAGAAGCAATATTAAAGTGACTTAATGATGATGGTGAATAACCTGCTGAGCAGAGGGTAATACTGCAATGACACCRAGAACATTAAAGCTCCTCCCTTCTAGCGCAAGGAAGAAAGGGAAACATGAGTAGGGGAACAGTATGTTTTCTCCCTATGTACATGCAAATGTACTTAAGAGTAAAGAAAATGATCCAAAAGCAGTTTAGCTACTGCATCCTGCCATTAGAAAGGTAGTAGGTGCATTGGCTGATAGAAGGTGTATGTTCTGATATTCTGCAAGTGTGAAGCAAGAACAAAGAGCAGCTTTAGAAAATACGTTTTACCTTCCATTCATAACAGGCTAACATGCCCAAGAAATTAAGAAAACATATTTTATCTCAAAATTCATTTACTAGAACTTATTATTTTTAACACACATAAAAAAGTTCATCACTTAACATGGTAACAGATTGTACAATGAATTACCTGTTAATAATCCCTAACTTGAAAGCCTGTAACCACAGGTCCAGATGTTTAATTTCCCTGCATAGAAATCTTAATGCACATCAGAAACACGAAGAGAAGTTCAGATACTGCCTTTAAAAAGTCTACTTTCCCTACAAAAGACATTAGGGTGGTGCCTATCCCTGAACAGTTTAAAGGCATTAAACACAATACATCAGAGGTTACAATTGTTCTAATATGTGTGCTTGTTCTTCTGCAGGCCACTGTCTTCTGCAATAGAAATACTTTAAATTCTAAAATGAGAAAGCTGGACTTCAAAATTTAATCTTTGCTTTAGAGTACTATGAATATTTATAGTACTCCCACAAGACTCACAAATACAGTACAGATCACAAACCTCACAGGGTATTCTCAGTGCTCCTGAATCACTCCATTAARACTGAATGTATAAAAGTCCATGAACTCACAAGCATCACCAGAAAGCAAAATAAATTCAAGTTGAAGTGTCTGACTTAAAAAACTTCAACCTCCCCAGTTCATGCCAACCAGTCAATATGGTATATGTTCCTCCTTTCTGAACAAAGTGCCTATGCAAACTGGAGGCATACAGGAGTACTGAAATACGGAAAAGACATTCAAAATGGAAYGCAGGACCCAAGATTTTTTGAAATTGCTACTTCTTGAACACTCCTTACCTCCCCATCAAATCTCATCTAAACATTTATCTCGAAAAGTAAAATCTATTTAAACCAAGACTATCCACTACTTCAGTTTATTTTTCATCAGTTTTAGAGAAATTTGGGGGAACTCAGAGAGACCCTCAAATAAATTATTTACAAAGGAGTGATAGGTCAGTAATCAGTGTATAATCAACACATTTTGTTTGGACTTCAAAAAAAGCTTCTAAGCTTTCTCTTCATAATCACTACTAAATTCCCAGAGAACTTTAAAAAAAGATACAAAGGAACAGTTTCATAACATCTRTTAAACACAGCAGTCACTTCAACAATTCTATTATGTCTTACCAAGTTTTTAGCAGCAACTTGACATTTTCAGAATTAAACCCAGAGTGATAGGTAGGACTGCAGCACAATAAGAGAGAAAGACGTTCTGCTTACCTGGACATCTGAACTGTGACTTCCACTTTTTGAAGCAAATAAACAATCCTCAGAATCAACAGCAAGCAAAGATGAAGCAGAAGGGAACAGCTCAGCAAAAGATCCTTGACTGAAGTTTATAACCTCTGGATTTTTTTGACCATCCTTTACTGATTCACTCAGATTGATCACAGAATCACGTATGTTTGAAATAATCTCATTATTTTCTGCCAACAGGCGTTCTAAATGATCTATTTTTTCTTGCAATATTGAAAGCTGGCCCTGGGGGAAGGAAAAAAAAAAAGTTTAATTACTTCTCAGACAAATGCTTGACAGACCTAAAAGGAAAAAAAAAACCTCAATTTCACAATAGTGCCTGGTTATACAATAGTTCAAATATATCTTTATTTTAAATTTTTCATAAAGAGAAACTAATAAGGAATTGACCCAATACGCAAAACTTTCTCTTTTTGATACAAAACAAAACAGCRAAAGAATCAATGGTATACATTTTTCCTCTATGAACTTGAATTCACAGCACAAAATTTAATCAGTGATACAAAGATATTCCTTAAAGTCACACAGTATCAAGTAGCAATTATATCTAATACAACCTTTTTCATATAGATTTGCAAAAATCTGATCKTCTCATTAATCAGAACATCAGACAGAAAGTCATTTTTTTACAAGTCCACCACATCATGATGGATTAAGAGGATATAAACATTTCAAGGTTTTTCCCATACTTGTAAAATACTATTGTAATAAATACAAATTTTCTGATTTTCAGTGAAAGTTAGAGAGAAATTAACAAAAGCACCTAATGCAGGCAAAAGATCCCTTAACAGTCCTTTCAGAGGAATAATCTGTATAATTGAACCATTACAAGCATCAAGAAAATCCTTTAAAAGAGAGATCAAACTAATGGCATTTTCAGCCAGAAGTTCATCTCCAATTGCCAAACAATAGGATTTTGTAGACGGTTCTGGAATGCTCTGCAAGAGGAAGGCTGCAGAACAGTATCAATGTGAATTGAAAGAAGTCAACGCATCTCCCAAAGCAACTTGGAAGGAAGAGACAGATCCCACAAAGCAATGTAATAGGATATAATTACTGTATTGTTGGAATGCAGGAGGAAGCACAGCCAAACAAGACACCTCAAAACATTACTGCCTCAAAACATTACTCTCATGTACAAGCCACTCCTTCCAAACGGTTTGAGGTATGCTTTTTATAAGGCATGAGAATGACAGCTTTTACAGAATCACAAAAGGCCAGACTATTTAACATGATTTTAGGGATACTTCTTATTAACAGACATTTATTTATTTCSTCAGAACGACTTCAACATAACAAGAAGTGACAAGAGAACAAAATACCCAGTCACCTCCTATCATAAAAGTTGAGGTCAGGCCCCAAAATATACTATGTATCATTAGGTATTTTTCTGTGACTTATGATTTTAGTGACTTTTTCCCAGCCCCACTGCCTTAYTTTCTTAAGACTATAGTATAATATTAGAAACAGTATCTGTATATGACACCTTTTTCCCTTTTGACAGTAATGCACTTGAAATATTTGCATTTTYCTTTTCAGCAATGGTAGTTTGCAAAGGATTAGATCTCCTTTCTAAATTGATGTGTGCATTCTTTTAAATCCTGTTCACTTTAAGAAGCCTGCAGAACTAAAAAAGAAATAAAAAAGCAAAAAATAGCAACCACAAAAACTCCAAATCCTTACCAAGAGTTACCAATCAGTTTTTTTATTCTAAACTGTCATTACTGTAATTCTACCTTTATAGAAGTTCTTTGTAATTTTGCAGACAATAGTTTTGGTAATTTTTTAAACCTGTTGGTTTGTCTCCACATTTTTATGGGCTGTGTGAAGTGCTGATCCACTGCTTGTTGTTTGTTTCTGCTTCTTGGATTGATACATCCTGAAAACAGTAACAGGTTTTAAAATGCAACACAGGCAGACAGCTATTGCTTCACAAAAAGACAAAAATACATTTTGTCAACAGAACCAAATGAGGCTAATTAAGATGTAGGACAAAAATCCTAGAACCCCAACAGTTTAAAGATAAATGCTAGAAAAAAAAACCTGATGAACTAAAAAAAAGAAAAAAAAAAAAAAAAAAAAAAAAAAAAAAAAAAAAAAAAAAAAAAAAAAAAAAAAAAAAAAAAAAAAAAAAAAAAGAAACAAGACTGTAGTCCCATGCCCCCTGGTGGCACAAAAGAAACAACCGGACTAAAATTTTTCAAATGCTACGCAAAAGATAGTGTGTGCACATTTCTGTGTAAAATTAGTTTCCCCTTGCAACGTCTGTSATACTCTGAAAGCCAGAAAGGTTTCTCTACACAAAGTCTAATAGCCTATTACGCCACTCAATCTAAACATAACTTATAAAACAACGCTTGATAAGGGCTTTAGAGGCTGCCCAGCAGAGGCTCTGATCTTTAGATTTCTAGGAAGCTACAGTACAGCTGCCATCCATACAAATCACTCTCCGCTTCACTGCATGTGACTACAGTTTAGCATTACCAAGTGTGCAAGAAGCTAAAGCAYTGTCACACCTGTCCCACCACTATAGACACTATCTCTGCAAGTATAAAATCAGACAACTGTTTAAATTGAAATTTATATTCTCTTTCATGTATGTTGCAAAAGTATTTTATCTCTTCTCTCACAAAAGGTGTTTTATATTGCTTATTCTGTTAACTACCTGGTCACTGAATACACCAACAAATTGGTTTATATCAGCAGCCAATTATACTCTCTCCAGGACAATAACAGACACAGAGGGGGGAAAACGAAAACAACAACAACAATAACAAAAAACAAAAAAAAAAAACCTTGCCAAATAAGTGTTCAGATTGATTCGTCCACTGGCACACACTGCCACTCTCTAGAAGACAGATATAAACTTCCTCCAAATTTGGAGGTCATGTCATATTTCATACCTTTAAGACATACATTTCATTTAACTTATTATATTTTAAACCTTGAAATATCTGTAACAATGTCTACCAGTGTACTGTGTATTATGYGACTAAATATTTTTCAAGTTCTCTGTCTTCAAACAGCAATTTATTACCAGATGACCTTCAAACAACTACTTCGTATGTTGATACATACATCCACCAATAATTTATAAGCTGCAGGGTTCCAGCCTACCTAGGACACTGATTTTCTGAAGCCAGTTAAAGTATGTTACTTTAACTTTGGAGGTAGATCTTCTGTTATTTGGAGAAAKAAATCCTTACAAAGACCTCCCATTGTGGAACTTAACAGAGAACATTAATACAGAAAATCCTGCTTTCTTTTCTGGGGACCGTGAGATACACCATGACTCTCTTCCAAAGCATTTAAACATGAGTGCTAATTCAACTTGAATGCAAAAGATGAAATAAAAAGCTACAGTTAAGAATATGTAACTAAGACTTCATGCAGTACCCAAGTTAAAACTGTAGGAAATAAATTTTTTGTGATCAACAAAATATGTTCAATCATTGTTGTGACATGTGACATCCATGAGAATTAACTCTAAGGAGCAACAGTGTCTCAGACTAGAAATGGACCAGAGTCTTCACTCAATATGAAAATAATTCATGTCAGGAATCCATTCCCAAGATGAAAATTYCACATGGCTCCAAATTATGCAAAATCTATGTCTATTTTCATTGCACATTCAACTTTGCTTCTTATTCATTTTAAACAGATATTGCCTGTTCAATAGTAAAAWTATTTTAAAATATTGGCTGAATATGGAAAACAAAGCAACTCTTCAAAACTATTAATTTAACACATGAAAATAAATCCAGTTGCAACATTTTTAAAGGAAGGCAACTGACTTACTTCAAATGTCAAGGCCAAACAGTACCTAACAGTGAAGTTCCTCTAAAGCTGTTTTATCTTATTAATTGCTAGTAACAGACCTTGTCTTAYCAGAAAAACAGATTAGAGGCACATTACAGGGGACATTAAATAGGTCTAATTAAAAGATAAAATGCAGAGATCCTCTCTATTATTGAAACCATGCCCCAACAGTATTTGTTTTAAATGAAGTTTTCAATTTTTCCATACATTTGACATTGAGCAGGGAGATCTTTTTTAGCCTTTTTAATCAGAACAGAGATGTACCAATTTTACCTTAACCAATTCTGTCTGAAATTTTGGGCTCTATAAGGCTTTGTAGACACTGAATAGCAAAACTTTACTAGCTGCACAAGTCATAAATGCTAGAACTATCCCTGACTTMGCAGCATCAAGTCTTTTCAGAAAAGAAGAAACCTTGATCCAAGAATTTGAGAAATCCTAACTGCACAGAAAATTGGAGATATGATGTCTAAGTATGTCCTAGTACAAGTGAACCACATTAAAGGATGTTCCATTAATCTACATATTTGTTTTAATACAGAAAAACTAAATGAAATTATGCAAATCACTTGGCCTACACAATCAGTTAAAATATTTGGAGCAACTTTCTTTCATTTGTCTCTGTCATTATATACTGATGAGTGTGTAAAAGATTTTATTAAAGAAGTGAGAAAGGCARTCCTCCTGTTACTTCAGAGGAAAGAAAGCACTTCTACAAATGCAAAACGCCAGCAAAGCAAATAGTACTGAAAGTAGCCACAGCTGCATTGGTAGGAGAATGAGCAGCACATCTGTTCMCCACAGCCATAGTTATACAGGGCTGGACTCAACCAACAAAATTTTCCCACATGAGGGCAACACTGATCCACACAGATTTCTCCCGCTTGGAACAAGAAGCATCCACACCTGTTACCTGTCCTGAGAAACCTGCCACTATCACCACGTGAATCAGCTACATAAACAATTCCTTATGGTTCAGTCATTCTGAAACCTTCAGTAGTTTTCAGGCCCCAAATACTTCAAAGCAGTCTGCTTTCCTACTGCCCTCTGCTTGTCCTTCTCCATTTGCTTCTGACACCAGTCTGATTTGTAGCAAGGACTCTCCAGAAAGGAGCACCATGACACCCAACATGAGAAGGGAAGCCCAGTGTGACCAATGTGATTCATCCTGAGGAAGTAGAGAGTGTTCCGTTTTTCCTATCTAAACACTGTACGTTGTAGAAAAGATATTACTGGGACTTTCATTTCCTGAGTGAACGCACATTCCTYGTCTAAACGCAGTGATTTCCAACAGGCCACTAACGATCACTTCATCAGGAAAAAAGACATCTAGCTCAAATAATTGAAGAGACCTATCACAGGCCCACAGATGAGGAGATCTCATAGAAACAGGCAGGCAGAGGAGA